CAAGACCATCATCAAGAAAAGTGGAAAATTCATATCAACATTCGGAATCATTCACATCCATGTTGAAAGATTTAATTAAATTGAAACTTGACATTCCTACCATGCAATTTAAAAAGAAAAATTCACGAGAAAACATTGGAATGCCTACTAGATCAAGTGATATTTATGATCGAGTAAAGAATGTGATGGATATGTGCAAGGAAATTAATACAGGAGAAAATGCCATGTTTAATGTGACCTTCACGTGTCAAGATTCGCAACCATTGGTGGTTGGTCAAGTAGCAAGACCTTGTTCTGTCGAGAAGGACAAGGTATTGTTTCCAGAGAAATGCATGCCTATTGATACTTTAAGAATTGAGATTTGTTTCAATTATAGTAATTCAATTTCAGAGCTGAGCAAATTCACAAATTATGCATTGAAGAATGAAGAGGAAATTATCAATTCTCTTATAACGATTATCGATCATGATAATCATCAAGTTTACTTCAAGCTGAAAACTAATTATTTCAATGAGGAAAAGGAATCACTTGATAGATATATTGTAATTGGAAAAATGGATAATAGTGAACATGCCTTTATATTTGATGTGAGCCATTTTGCAGAGAGTTGTGGAGTTATTCCAAAGAATTTGAAACATATTTACAAACTGTGCATGCCTTCAGATTTGGCCAAACATTTTGAAAATCTTAAATCTGGAAACTCAACAAATTCGGATAAAAGTGTTAGAAGGGTTGGATTTGGAATATTCTTTAGAGCTGATACCTTATCCGATAGATATCGCTGTAGGTGGTATTACAATAACCATACGATAGCAACAGATAGCTCTTTAATTGGACTGGTAGGATCAAACAGCAAATATGGCAATTATGGGATTCAGATTTTGGCAGAAACCTCAAGTGTTTACGGATGTAATTACACGGGTGTGATAGATGTTGGATATTACAAGTTTAAATTGAGTGGGTGGACTAAATATGAGTCTTATCAATCTGCTCATCATTACACTTGTAAATTGACTCAGGAAGTTAAGTATTTGAATAAATAATTCAGAAAGCATTTCCAATTGCTTTATATTTCATAACCTTGGCCACATCAGGACAGGAGGAAACTAGCATGGTAGTAAACATTGGAAGTTAGGTTTTTGAAGTGGTAAATTATGGAATTGAATTCAACATTACAAAAATAACTTTCAATTTCTTAATTTCAAACAAAAGAAAAAAAAATATGGTAGTAGGTAAAAGCAAACAAAAACGTCGTCGTTGTATCGACCCATTCTATTTCAAAACTACATTCCTTGTCAAATCTCCCTATTTCGAATATTCCAAGACGAAACATGATGAATATGCATCAATTTCAACACCTAAATTACCAAACTCAACTCTGGATTTTCCTCTAATATTCACACCAGTCACCAGAGCAATAGGTAAAACTGCCTCAAAATTACCAACTCATGAAAAGGTTTTGAATCGTTCGATTGAAACTTTTGCCCCAGATATCATGTCAGTCAAGTCTGATCTTGATTACAATGTAATTAATTTGAAAATTTACACAATTTCGGAAAGAGGACATGCTGAAGCTGATTTTAATGGGTTTCGATTGACCAAAGAAAAATTAGCTTCAATTCCACACAAATTTCACACACTCATTACACTCAATCAAGTTTATAAGAGTTTAGATGGATATCAAGTGAGAATTTTCATGAGTGCAACAACAAGAGCACGAACTCTTCAATTGAAAAAGACATCCTATGCCAACAAGTCACAAATCAAAAAGATTCGAACTGTCATGCACCAAACAGTGGAAAAACACATTAAAAAGATGAAGATTCACGACTTTGTGGAAAGAATGGCTGTAAAAGGTGGAATGAGTAAGGAAATTTGTCAACAGTGTGAAAATATTTATCCAGTAAATGAGGAAATTCTCATTACAAAGATTAAGGTAGTTGAAAGACCACCAAGGGAAGAAAAATAGTTCCTCATAAACCAATTGTGTATTTTAATGTAAGCTCCTCCTCCATTCTTTCAAGAACTAGAAATTGTAAAATACTAATATGCCTATCTCTTAATAACATCAGAAAGTCAGATATTGATATCACATACATAGCCTCTCTTCTCTCTTCGAAGATGGTTGATTAATTTGTGTTTGTGAATGCTTTTCTTCACCAACTTCAAACGAAACAGAAAAAATGAAACGAAAGGAAACAGATGATCATTCTGATCTTGACGAAATTCCAGATAAAAAATTCAAACAGATTCCGATCAGCAATATAACAACTAATCACTCTTTTAAGTTTTCAAAGGATATTTGCTTTGAAGTTTTGACTTTTTTAGAGAGTAAAATGATTATCCAAAATTGTTTTTTAATTTCGAAAAGATTTTTTAAAATTGGAAATAGTTTATTTAGTTTTGATGTTAAATTTAATACAAAATCATCATGGTTGAAATTTTTACAAGTTTTGAAGGATGATAATAGAAGTTCTACCTATGTTTCGAATATTAAGGGAATTTCTTTGCATAGAACAATTGATATTTCAAGCGATCCAGGAATGAAGTATCTATGTAAGGTAATTCACAATCAATTGACCTATCTAGATGTGAGTGGTAATACGAGATTTGTTCAAGAAAATGGATTTTATTTGATAGGTTCTTTGAAAAACCTTCAAACGTTGAACATTTCTTCAGTTTTTAAATTTTATTCTAGAAAGAAAAGAAACAATTCTCCAGATTTGGAACACCTTGTTACTTTGGACAAGTTAAGGACATTGATTGTTGAAGAAAATGATTTGAATGATAAAGATTGTGAAGCAATTTGTAAATTAACTCAATTGACAGAATTAAATATTGGAACAAACCACATTGACTCTGAAGGAACAAAACTTATTTGTAAATTGACTGGTTTGAAATCATTAAATATGGACTGTAATAGTATTGGAGATCTAGGAGCAGAGTATATTAGTCAAGCGATGACACAACTAACCTGTCTCTCTGTTTGGGCATCCGACATTGGTGATGGTGCTGCAAGACAATTAGTATCACTACAGCTGTTACAATCTATTTGCATTAACAATATTGATCATAATGTTGCCACATATTTGAGAAATTCTCTTCCAAATCTCAAAGTGGATGAAATAAGAGAACGAGGATGCTTTTATGAAGATGATCTTTTATCTGATAACGAGTGATTTATTTAAACTTGTTCATTAGCAGTGAGATTGATTAATTCAAAGTATTGACGAAGAGCATCGGCCAAGACTTCAGGTAAAGTTTGAATGTCTCTCAAAATTATGTAGAATGGGAATGGGAACTTTTCAATATAATAACTAAATGTTAATGGTTGTTTTGGATCTGAAGTAGAGTTGATACTCTTTACATTGAGAATAGAATCCTTTGGATTTGGATTATCAATCAAAATGAAAACGAAAAGAATCTTCTTTTCCTGTCCTTCTCTGACCAATTTAACAATTCTATCTCTTTCTAACATTCTACCATCTGAAATAATAAATGCCAATTGATATTGTTCGCTATTGTTAGAGAATTCCATAGACTTGTAATTTTCCATAAGTTGAATGGTATCTGACAGGAAGTTAACAATTTGAGTTTGATTTTGTTTGAATGTGAATTGAGAGAGGATTTCAGCACCGGTTTCATCAGTGAATGGTTTCTCGAAAGGATGTAACAATTTCATCTTTTCACCAAAGCTAACAACACCTAATTGACCTACTTCAAGTTGTGACATGGCTCTAGAAATCAATGTTAAAGCTTCACAAGCCATTTGACCAGCATGGTTATCATTCATAGACTTGGAATCATCGATAGCCAAAAGAATTTGGTAATCTCTCTTATTTGGTTTTGTTCTTCTAAGCCAAATCTTATCCTTTCTAAATTGACTGGCAATATAAGGAATAATCTTCTTCATGTTAATTCTTTTACCAGTCTTGTAGTCACCCTTGAGTTTAGTAGCCAAAGTTGGTTCAAGAATCAATCTTAATTGTTCGCACAATTCTTGAGACAAGCTTGATGTCAAAATATCAAACTTCTTCCAAATTTCCTTACTATTGTTTACATTTTCTTCATTATTTCTCCATTCGTTGAGAGATGATTCAAGCTCTTCTCTCATCATCTTAATGTCATCCATACTTAATGGTTTAATTTCTGGTTCTTCAGTCTCAATTTCTTCTTCTAAAGCTTCAGTCTTGGTGTGGATAGTACTTTCAAAGTTGGTTTGGACAAAATCTACCTTCTTATTTGAAGGTTCAAATTGAATATCTTCCATATCTTCATCCTCGTCTTCGTCTTGTTCTAATTTCTTATCCAACTTGGATGAAATACTTGGCTTTGAGTCGGCATTATTACCTTCCTTTTCGTCCTTCTTCTTTTCCTCACCAAATTCATCCTTCTTCTTTTCTTCAGTCATTTCTTCATCTTCATCATCCTCTTCGCCATCTTCCATTGCTGGGAACTCCTTAGATTGTTCTTCGGTGGCATTAGACAAGATTTGATTTTCTTGTTGGTCCTTATCGGCATCATTTTCTTCAACAAACTCAAAAGCTTCGCTCTTTTCACCTTCATCTTGCTTGTTCTTTTCATTTTCTTGTTTGTTTCTCTCGACGAGGTTGAGCTTCTTCTTCCAATTCTTCATGGCATCACCCAAGCTTCTGAGAGGATTTGGATCCATTTGCATTTGGCCGGATTCTGGCTCTTGGTCAGCATTATTATCAGTACCTTGATCCATACTTTCACCCATTTCATTCTTATTGGTGTCTTTACCACTTTCTTCAGCATTGTTATTCTTCTTTTCTTGTCTTTGTTCATTTTCAGCTGAATCTTCCTTAATATCAGAAGCTTTACCAGCAGTTTGTTTAACACCAAATGGAGTTTCTTTGAGATCCTTAGAATCAGCTTCTTCCTCTGCAGTATGGGCCTTTTCTTCCTCTTCTTGTTCATTTTCCTTTTCACCATCTTCGTCATCATTGCCATCTTCGTCCTTTTCTTGTTTGTTTTCAGATTCCAAGTTTGGATCGATAGCATCTTGATTGTCTTCATCTTGTCCACTAATATTTTGGTCTTCTGGAGCGATATCTTCGGTGTCAACTTGTTCATCAATTTCTTCATCCTTCTTCTTCTTCAAGTCTTCATCACCGTCAGCATCTTCATTGTCTCCTTCTTCCTTATCTTCACCATCCTTGTTTTCTTCATCACCTTCTTGTTCATTTTGATTTTCTTCATCGCCTTCTTGTTCATCTTCAGAAATTTCCAAATCATCCATTTGTTGATCATTGTCTTTTCCATCTTGATCTTCACCATCCTTATCTTGGTCTTGGAATTCATCATTGAATTTATCATCCATATTATCTTCGAATTCTTCTTGTTCAACAGCTTCTTCATCTTCTTCGTATTCCATTGGCTTGTCATCCTTCTTTTGCTTGTCCTTTCTATTATCTTGTTGATGATCATCATTTTCATTTTCTTGCGCTTGAAGTTCGCTATCTTGTTGTTGAGGATTGTCATTCTTATCGGAACCTTCTTCAGTCTTGTCATCTCTGTCATTTTCATTTTCGTCCCAGAGTTTTTCATCAAGTTGTTCCTTATTTGGATCATCTTCATCTATTTCACCCATTTCCTTATTTTCATCTTGTTCTTCATCTTGATCTTGTTCCTCATCATCCTCTTGTTCGTCAACTTCTTGCTTTTCAGCTTCAAAGTCTCCGTCCATTTCGATAGCATTATCGTTCTTTTCAAGGTCCTTATTACCTTCTTGTTGTTGCTTATCCTTTTCGTTCAATAATTGATCTTCATTGTCAATTTGATCACCAATATCATTGATACCTTCACCATCGTCCATACCAGTACCAGAACTAAAGTCAACACCATCACTTTCTCCTTCACCTTGTTCTTCGTCATCCTTACCACAGAAACCTTGCTTGCACAAAGTTGAGAAGATATTGAGGAGAACATAAGTGAGTTTGGAAATACTCTTGTGATAATAAACAAGAGGAATCTTGAGGGTATCAACAACACCATCCAATCTTTGCAATAATGGAGCTAAGTTACTCAACAATTCTGTAAGACTGTTTGTAATGTTTTGAGAATTCTTACTATTGTCAACGATGAATTCAATCATTCCAGAAATGTCCTTGTTAATCTTGGCCAAACCAGTAGTGATAACTCCATGACATCTATCAATAAATTCTTCAAGTCTTTGAATGGAGTTATTCTTGCTCAAGTAAGAAGCAGAGTAAGTGTCATCTTCTTCATCATCTTCCTTCTTTCTATTCTTGAGTTCTTCAGAGGCTGATTTCATAGTTTCTTCATATTGAACTTGTTCTTCAGAGCAAGCCTTTACCAAATCTTGGATAGTCAATTGAATAGACTTGACAGCATGCTTGTAAAGCTTGGCAAATGATGAAATAGAAGCCAAATCAAACTTGTTATTACTGGCTTCTTCTGCAACAATTGATTCATAGGTAGTTTTGACTTGATCAAACTCTTCAACAAGACTAATCAATTCCTTTGATTTTGGAAGATCAGAGGTTTCAGAAACAAACTTGTTGAGAATACCTCTAGCGTTTTGCAAAGTCTCGAGATTTTCGGAAAGCTCCTTCAAATCCTTAGTACTGAAGAGTTGAGTTCTATTCATAATTCTTTCTAAAAGATCGACGCTTCTATCAATGATACTCTTGGCATCTTCAATAGTCTTCAAAGGTTTATCATAAGCACTATCATGCTTTGAGAGAGCTGTGTATAGAGAAGTGATTTGGGCAACCAATTCATAGAGTCTAAAGACATATCCTGATTGTACATTCAACAATTCTCTAGCCTTGCTTTGTGAAATGATAACACCTTCATCCTTTTCATTTTCAAAGCTTTGCTTCAAATGTTTCAAGGTTGAAAGGAAAGACTTATTAGCTTTTTGGCTTGCTTCAATAGTACCCAAGATTCTTCTGTGTTTCATTGTGAGGAAGAACAAATTGTCTGGATAACCTCTCATCTTGGTTTGTTGAGACTTGATATCACCAGAAACTTCGCCTTCAAAGGTGAGTTTAAAGTTTTGAACACTGAAAATGTTCTTAAAGTAATAGTCATCAGCCTTCTTGAAAACTTCTTGAACATCATTTGAAGTGAGGTTATTCAATGAGAATCCAACATCTGGAATTTGGAAAATCTTGTCAATAGCAGTTTCAGATCCAACACTCTTCTTCAAGTAGGAAATGCCCATTTCCTTAAGTTCTGTCAACAAAGTAACGAGAGCTCTCAATTTCATACTCTTTGGAGAATTTTCCTTGTTGAGAAGTTGGGTTTGTTCAATAATTTCAACACTAAAATCTTCAATATTGCTTGTTACAGCATCAAATTCCTTTGGAACAGCACTCTTGATGATCAAGTTTTCAAAGTTCTTTCCAACCAATTCATAAATAACTGGAAGTCTATCTACAACATTCTTGGAATCTTCCATAAATTCCTTTTCAATAACAGAAAGCAATTCCTTTTCCTTTTTGGTATATGAAAGACAATTCTTAAATTCGTGGCTCTTGATAAGATTCTTGCCTCTGTTCATAGTTTGTTGAATAATGTCGTCTGGTTCATCAGCAATAAACTTCTTATTCTTTCTCTTCTTGATCTTCTTATTCTTGCTCTTTCTCTTAGGCTTCTTCTCAGATTCTTGGATAATTTCAGAAGCAGCAGCAAGTTCATCATACTTGTCCCACAAATCTCTAGCTGGTTTGACGAGAACTTCACCAAAACCTTTAGAGAATTTAGCAAGGGCTCTTCTAGACTTCTTAGTTGTGAATCTGATGGCATCAATATTTACATCTTCCCATTTAGTGAGAGTGATAAAGTCTCTGAGTTTAGTTTCCAAAGGTTGCTTTTCTTGGTCAAGTCTTTCTTCAAGCTTACCGGAGAATTGAGAATAATACTTGTGCAAATTGAAAATAATATCTCTAATCTTAGTTCTAACTTCTACATCATCAGAATACTTTCTTTCAATTTCTGCAGCTAAATGTTGATAGAAGTTATTCAACAATCCAAGACGATATTCAAAGTCACCAATGGTTGATGTTCTGATAAAGTCATCACAAATACCAAAGAAGTCTTCAATGATCTTGGTGAGTTCTTCCATCTTGAAACTACTATTACAAATCATATTGTAGAATCTGAACCACCAATTAATAGATTTGTTCTTGTATTCTCTATTCTTCAAATCATAAATACCCTTCCAGTTTTCTAATTCCATTCTTCTCCATCTAATAATGAGACCAGATAATTTTCTAATTTCATCCTTCAAAGAATTTACATGAGCTGTAAGATATTCTTCCCATTCACCAGCTTTGATTAATACTAATTCAAGACCAGTAAGAATCTTAATGATTGGACTAGTAATTGGTTGATTGAGAATATGTTCAATAATCTTGACCATTTCTACAAGGATTGGGTGACCCTTTTGTTCTTCAGTACTGTACTTCTTGATCAAGAAGTTCAATCTTTGAAGCATACTGAAGAGAGTGCTGAAAGCAAGAGTAATTTCTGGAATATTTGGTTCAGTGTAAACTTCACTGTATGCCTTGAGTTTAGCTTCCTTTGAATTATCAACCTTAACCCAGAGATTATTCAATGCTCTACTTCCGAAAAGAACAAGTGGAAGATATCCTGAAGAAGTCATATCAATTTGGTATTTTCCGTTGAGTGTGTTAATGATATGAACAGCTACATTAAAGGATTCGTCAAACATCTTATTTCTAATAGTGTCAATAGTATCAACAGGTCTAAGTTGACTAGAGGAAGAGATGAAGGAGAAGATATCCTTGTGAGTACGAACCAAGTAGTCAATTTCTCTTTCATCATGAATAACCTTGTTAACTCTTTCCAAGAGTGACTTTTCAGATATCAAGGATTCCTTCTTCTCTGACAAATTCATAATATTCTTTTCCTCGGTTGGTGCATTGAATTGAGAATAATCTTCGCTATAAGTTGGGAACATGGTTTCCATTTCTTCTTCCAAAATTTCTTCTTCAGTTTCGATTGTTGTCTTTCTTTCCTTGTACTTGTAGAAGTTGTCTTCTTCAGCCTTCTTCTTTTCAAGTTCATCTTCAACAGATTCGAACAAGTTAGAGTACATTACGAAAACTTGGTTCAATAATTGGAGGTTATGGATTGTATTGTCTTGGCTGGAAGTTTGAGAAACTGTAATCAACAAACATCTGGACATCAAGACACGCAAAACCTTGGTAGCTGTTTCATATTGCTTACACTTGGATTGTGTATTGGCAGAGTTTTCAATAGACTTGAGCCATTGTTGAACGATAGCCAAATCATCTTCAATAGTTTGAACCGAGTTACAAGATGGGAAGGAGAGAAGATGGTTCAAAATTTGATTGACAGTATTTTGTTCAGACTCATCCTTCTTAGCAAGTGAACCATAACATAATAATCTCAAACCGTACTTGATATGATAAGCAGATGAAGCAAATGGCAATGCCAAATCTTCAAAACCAAACGAATTCTTCAAGATCTTTGATTTAATGTGAGAGTGGCTGTTTGCTTGATAGGATTCTTCCTTATTGATAAGTTCAGCAACCATATCTTGCTTGTCATCATTATCACTTTCAAAGAACTTTATCAAACTATTAGACAAGTTCTTGATAACTTCATGTTGGTCAGCCAAACTCTTCATTTCACGATACATATCAATGAATGAAATATTAGTTGGTCTGTTAATAACCTTTGGAGTTATCTTATCAACAATTGATTGAATATTTGTAATATCCTTTTCAATCTTGTCAGAAATGATATTTCTACCACTTCCGCTAATGAAACGCTCAATAGAAGTCATAATTTCAAGTTTTCCTTGAAGAACTTGAATATCTTCCTTGAGATGCTTATCATAAATTGCATACTTCAAAGTTGGATCCAAAGAATTGGCTGGAATGAACAAATTCATTCTAGTTTCACCCAACTTTAACCAAGCCAAACCACGATTCATCAAATCCTTATTCTTATCTTCATCTCTTGTGCAAATGAGATTGCAAACAGAAATGATATCATTTTTCTTAGCCTTCAATCTTCCATCATTTGATGATTCAATAATCTTAGTAAGATCTTGGACGGAAGCTTGTTTAGTTGCACACAAAGAATCAGTAATATCTAACAAGAGTTGGAAAGATGCTTCTGGGAAGCTCTTCTTGAAACTCAACAAAGTATCACAATACAAATAAACAAGATTATTCCAATCTACTTCTTCAGATTGTACATTATCAACATTTGTACAAATGAATTGTACGACCTTCTTAAGTTGGTCAATCTTGATATGTCTTGAACGAATAGGAATATTTTCCCAACCACTCAACAATTTCAAAATGTGCACAGAGTTAACATCTTGGAATAATCTGTTTGGACCAGCAAGATCATCTCTCGAAACTGGAGTTTCAGTAGAATCAGAATTTTCAAACATGGATGTATTGTAGGTATTTTCCCAAACTCTTTCATTCCAGTAAATCCATACAAAGTGAAGCAATGAAGGAATGCCTAAGGCAATCTTCTTAATTTCATCAGCAGAGTTTGTTTCCAAGTTAGAAATTCTCCATAACAATAATTGATATGGAACGAGATCAAGTGGACCACGAGAACAGTTTTGCAAGATAAAGTCAATCAAATGTCTTCCCTTTGCAACAGCTGTTGACAATAAACGCTTAATTTCCTTAACATCTGAAGAAGCATCAAGACGTTTAAGAATGTAGCCAATCTTTGAAAGCAAAGTTACTACATTCATTTCATGATGCATACTCTTATAGTCAAACAATGGAGAAATTGCTTGTGTGGAGTGCAAAGAAGCAGCATTGATGTGCTTCTTGTCAGGAGCAGTAAATTCAGCAATATCACGGAAGATCTTATCCATAACAAGTTCTTGTTCTGACTTGGTAGCCAATTCCTTGTATGGTGTGTAAACGTCTTCAGAAATTTCTTGCTCCTTTGGTTTAGCCTTTTCTAAGAGCTCTGGAACAGTTCTAACATATTGAAGAAGCTTTTCTTGGTCTGGATGATTAGGTTCTTGTTGAAGTAACTTGACAGTACTCATAGCATTATAAACCAACTGCTTCAATTCCTTAGATTCAGTATTTGAAGAGGTATTAACTGAAAGATAATTAGTAATAGTATCTTCGATTTCCTTCAATTCAACTGAAAGAGAAATGGTAGGTTTACCACAATTCTTGTATAAAGTATTCTTCTTTCCAACACTGTTAAAGTTGCTAATAACCAAACCATCAATTTCACCCATGAATGTGCATAATTGTTCATAGAGTCCATATGGTGTTTCAGAAATATTCTTCTTCTTTCCAGAAGTGGCAGGCTTCTTGACTTTAACCTTTAAGAATTCTTTGGCTAACCAGTTCCAATAAATAAAGAACTCTTCAGAAAGCTCAGCAGTATGAGATAAATAGAACCACAACTTGTCTCTACATCTCAACATGCCACTAATATCATCCAAACTACAAACAGATTCGTCAACTTTAGAATTCATAATGGCATCAACAAGCTCATCAATTTGAACAAATAAAGTATAAAGATGTACAACAACTCTGTTTGGTGCTGTACTTCTGTGTTTTGGATTGAGATGGTAATAATATGATTGATGAAGCAATGAAGACTTATTTTCAACAATAGTACCTTGGAATTCAACAGCAATACTTTGTTGTTCTTCGTATTTACGTTTTTGTTGAGATGTTAAAATAGTTGCAGCATCAAAAACATAATTATCCTGTTCGTTAATCAATCCCAAATATTGGAGTCTAGCAAACAATTGCTCGCTATATTTCAAGTTCATTGGTTGAGAAGCAATAATCTCAGAGAATCTTTGAGTGACTGTTTGTTGCATATTCTTGAATATCTTTTGAATTTTCTTTGAAACTTCACAACCCTTTCTCGTATTCAACAATTCAATACCCTTTGTTAACAATTCTTCAAGAATCTTATCAGATTTACAAAGAGTAAGTAATCTTTGCAACCAAATTACTCTAATATCAATATCTTTGAATGAGGAAACATCAATAAAGTATTCCAAAGCATATTGCATATCATTAATCAAGTTTGATGTTGAAGATGTATCCATAACATCAGCTGAAATGATAGTTTTTTCTACATCATTTGTTTGCAAGAAATGAGGTGGTAAATCAGTAACAAGAATCTTCCATTTAAGTGAATCAAGAAGTTTCTTTGTGCTATCATTATGATCATTTGATTCAGCAACTTTGAGACTAAGATAATTTCTGATAATATCATACAATCTGGCAGATTGTCTAAAAACTGTTCTGAACAAAGATTTGTCGCACTTGAATGCATTAGCAGCAACAAATGTTGATGGGAATCCATGATCATTTCTTGGTAATTGCTTGGCACATTCCTCTAATTCACTTTCAGCAATATCGACAGCTGACTTTGAAGAACATCTACTTCTAATGTAAACACAAGAAATAGCAGCCTTGAAAGCATTTGTAATGTTCAAACCTTGCTTAACTTCAGAGTTGAATACTTCAGCACATCTCAACAAGTCACGAATAGTTGGACGATCTTCTTCTGGTAAAAAGATCTTTTGAGTGAATTTAGCGTGATAGTCCATGAGAACATTACACAAATGTGCAGATGGTACACCATTATTAGCCAAGAGAGTAAAAGCATCTTGTGAAGGAATAGTAATTGGGAACATTGAGATTTCAATACCTCTGTTTCTCATAGCTCTAGAAATTTCACCATATTTTGGATCCATAACCATGAAAATTCTAAAGTGTGGATGTGGTTTAACAATACGGATTTCTCCATCAACCAAACCTCTTTCATTCACAACCAAAACACCTTCAGGTTCCAAGAGAGAATTCAATCTGTCAAGGACGGTTGGATTACAGAAGTTAACATTGTCAATGAGAATCCAGTTACCAGCTTCCAAAGAACGAATCAAAACACCATCGTTCCATTCAAATCTTCCTTTAACACCCATTTCCAAAAGCTTACTTAAATTATCCAATTGTTGAATAATAGCTTGCTTTTCATCACTTTGATATTCCAAGTTATCGAATAGAGTTTCACACATACTCTTCAATTGTTCAATACCAGAGAATGAAGCATCCTTCTTAGCAGTTGCATCATAAGTTGTCCATTGGTTATACAACAACTTAAGAGCATCGAATCTAAGATTTTCATCATTTAAGAATGCAATTCTGGCGAGTTCATCAATCTTAATCTTAATAAAACTGGCAATCTTTCTAACTTTTTGAATAGGATCTACTTGTTCAAAACCACCCAAAAGTTCGACAGTATCAGTGGAACTACTCATAGAGAATTCACTTAACATATTTCCTGTCATTTGAGCAATCAATCTAACAATAGAAGTTTTACCACAAGCAGATGGACCATTGACAATAGTCAAATAGTTCATTTCAATACATTTCATAATATTTTCGAGTGGGTTCAAGAAGGATTGCAACAAGATCAAATCTTGTGATGATGTACTTGGGGCATGGTTATCCTTATCAGAATCGTCAAATGAACTATTCTTTAACAAAATAGAAGATCCAATTTGAACAGCACCAGGAGTGATGGTATATGTTGGATTAGTTTCACAAGGGAAATCCTTTCCAGTCAATTCCTTGTAAACTCTTTCCACATGTTTACGATCTTCTACTGTTCTCATTCTTTGCTTGTACATACAATCGATCATTCTCATTGGATCAATTGGTTTGGTACAGTCCTTGTTCAATTCTCTTTCCTTCTTCAATAATTCACACCATCTGAAAACATCTCTCAAGTTGAATTCCCAAGGGCTTCCCTTTCTACCAAAACGATAGAGCTCCATGGTTTCTTTGTGCATTTTTCTGTTAAAGTCAATCATCAACTTGATGTTTTCTTCTCCAATATCACCATGAATAGAATTAAGGATGAAAGTCAAATCTTCTGGTCTCAATTCATCAACATAGACTTGAGTGAAACGATTGAGGAATGACTTTGGTAAACCCTTTCTACCACCACCTTGTTGTAAAGGATTTTGGCATGCAAAGATACGGAAACCTTCTGGGCATTTAACAGTTTCGTTAATTTCAGGAATATAAATTTCAGCACGGTGATCCAAAACAGAGTTCAAACCTTCAAGAACTGATTGAGATGCAAGATTCAATTCATCCAACAAAACCCAATCACCATTACGTAAAGCTCTCAAGAAGATACCATCACACCATCTGAATTGACCTCCAGAACTTCCTTCAACAGGCAAATCAGTACCTAACAAGTCCATCATATCTGTTTGTTCACTCAAGTTAATTCTAACAATATTGTGACCAGATGCTTTAGCAATAGCAGAAATCAAAGATGTTTTTCCTACACCAGGACTACCTTCGAGAAGTAATGGCTTTCTGAGTTGCATAGCTCTGAGGACCTTCATGACATTTCTGCCAGTAGTTGGAGCATCCAAAGCATAAACAATCTTTCTTTCACTACTTTCACCACATTTAACATAGAATGGATGATATCCAAAGTATTCTGAGGATTCTTTGGTCTTGTTACTTCTAATGGCAGTGTAGTTTTCATTGAGGAAAACATCTCTATAATATTCGAGTTGTTCAGTGCTCAAAACATTTTCTTGAGCAATCTTATCAAGTAAGAAAGTAAAGCATTCCTTTCTGAGCAATAATCTGTTCTTGGCAGAAGAGTCAGTACCTACACCAATACTTTCCAAGATAACTGTGTCAACACCGTGTAAAAAGGCACCATATGCATCCATGTCAAGTTTAGCAACAGCCATATTCATAAACTGAACCCATGAAATGACATCTCTTACACTCAACAATCTCTTAGTTCTCTTAGACTTGAAGAATTGAACAAATTCAACCATTCTAGTATTAAAACTCTTGATTGATTGATCTAATTTGCTTGCAACAATAATAGCCAAGTCTTCAGAAACAGACAAACTTGGAACATAAATTTCAGTGAAACGATTTCTCAAAGCAGGAGAAAGTTCTCTCTTACCAAAGTCACCTCCAGGGTTCATTGTTGCCAAAATTCTAAACTTATCATGAGCAACAATACTTTCGATCTTTTCAGATCCTCTTTCTGGGAGAGTTAATTCTCTTGAAGGTTCCAATACACTGTTCAAACGTTCAAGAACAGCATCTTCAGCCAAAGAAATTTCGTCAATAAGGAAAATTTCACCACTCTTCATTGATTGAACAAGAGGTCCATCATACCAAGTGAAAAGAGCCTTCCATTTTTGATAGATATCTCTTATAATCAATTGTTTTTCCAATAGTTCCTTTTCCTTAAATTCATTCTTTTGCTTTTTCTTTTGAGGTTCTGCTAATTTTCTTTCCTTAGCAAGCTTTTTGCAAATATCTTCCAATCTCTTGACTTTCTTACCAATACTTGTTTCGTTACCAAAATTAATATCGAGTGAGTATTTAGTATTAGCTGTGGTAATAAATTCTTCTATTAATTCTTCTAATTCTATCTTTAACTTTTCTCTACCTCTTACAGGACGAAGAGAACCCAAGATATCGCTTGTTTCGGTATGTTGGTGACAATTGAGAATTCTCAAATGTTGTTCATAAATATCAGCATAAACTTGACAAACAGTTGTTTTACCGGTACCAGTATCACCAACAAGCAATGCAGGCTCACTGAATTGAAGACATTTACCAACAAGGACGTACATTCTCTTCATTGTCTTTGTCCAAACAATAGTACTACCAGCAACTTGTAAGTTATCAAGCTCTTTTGGATTGTACATTCTTTCGAGATCAAGTTTAGTCTTGAAAACCTTTTCCAAAATTTCTTTAACAATATCCTTTTCTTCATCTCTACGAAGTCTTTCTGCCAAAAGCATAAAACCTTCTTCAGCAGCATTTTGGTTATAGTTAATCTTTTCATCAGCACCCTTCATACGTTCAGCCCATCTGAACAAATCTCTTGGTGTAATATTACTCTTACCAGCAAAAATCTTACTACTTTGTCTTCTTTGTTGAAGTTCTCTCATAACAGAAACAAGCTTTTCAGCATGTTGGTTAGAAATTTGACATCTTCTGTGAAGAATAGTCACTAATTCACCTCTTGGAATTTCATCAATGTGAAGTTCCAAAAATCTGTTTCTGAAAGCACGAGATAAAACCTTTCTACCACCATAAAGACCTGGAGGGTTTTGAGTGGCAAAGAGTTGGAAATGTGGATGTGGTTTGACAGTTTCTTGAGTTTCTGGGATGAACAATTCTCTATTATCGTCAAGCAATCTGTTAAGAGCTTCTAAAATATCAGATGGAGCCAAGTTCAATTCGTCCAAAACTAACCAATATCCATTTCTAACAGCTTCAACAAGGATACCTTCTTGGAAGACAAGTTTTCCTTGAGAGTTGGTAATATAAGAACCAAAATATTCTTGAAGATCAGTACTTTCGTGATTGTTAATTCTTACAAATTTGTGACCAGTCATTTTAGCAAGATATTGAACCATACTAGTCTTACCAGCAGAAGTTGGACCTTGAAGTAATACAGGGTACTTGTTAGTCTTGATAGCTCTAGCAAGATTCTTCAAGTTTTCTTCTACTGTATCAGTAATAATAAAATCAGCTGGTTGCTCTGGTGCGAATTGACCTTGTGGCAACCAAAAGTGTTTAAACAAAACAAAATCACCACTAGCTGGTTGACTTGGAGCTTGCTTAAGAGAATTATCAACATTCTTTTGTTTGAAGAAACAAGTTCTAATCATCTTTTCAACTGTGGATGAACAAGCAGAACTCAATAAGGTTAAGAAACCCATAGAGAAACCTTCATAGAGAGATCTTTCCATACCATAGTCCTTCATAACAAAAACGGCATAGTCCAAACTTCTTGTCAAGGTACGTAAACTGTAATGAGGTCTTTGGGAAGCACCATCAGAAAGTTCAGCTTCTGACTTTTTCTTTACGTCCAAATAAAAATTAACAATATCATCAACTGGTGGATGTGGTACAGTTGACAAATATCTAGAAACAACAATCTTCAAGTCGTCCTTGTCAGTTAATTCGTGAACATAAAACTCGGAAAATCTATTTCTCAAACCAGGTGGCAAATTCTTTTTACCAATATCAGTTGGAGGATTCATACAAGCAAAAATTCTAAAGTTTGGATGTCTCTTAATTGGTTCAGTATCACCTTTTTCAGTAATGAATAAGGTTCCTTCTTCACCTTCTAATAAAGAGCTCAATCTTTCAAGTGTTTCTGTAGAGGCCAAGTTAATTTCGTCGAGTAAGATCCAATGACCTTCCTTAAGAGCCTTAACCAAGGTACCTTCTACGAAAGAGAAAGCAAAGCTATTTTGTACAAGTATTTGTTGTTGATTAAATTTGTCAACACTTTCTTTGAATTTAGTCCAATATTGTTTGAGTGTTGATGTCTTATCAGAAGTCTTTTGCTTCTTTGTTCCAGAAGAAGAACCTTGAGTCTTCTTTCTCTTCTTTGAATCTACTTCTTCTAACTTTTCATCAACTACTTCATCAACTTTTGAAAGTTTTTGATCAGCAAGATCAATTATCTTATTCAACATCATGATGAATTGAGCCCAGCTCTTCTTTGTGTATAAATCTCTGACTTTTTTCAATGTTACTTCGTTTTCCTTTGAAGGGAAAGTAACTGAAAATAATTGTTCAAAATTGCTCTTTACAGAAGCTGCAAGTATTTTCAAATCAACTGGTTTATAACCACCAATAAAATCTGCAGAGTCTGTTTGTTGATTCAAGTTATGTACAAGGAGTTTTTTACCCATCAAGTTGGCCAAATATTGAACAGCAGTAGTTTTACCAACACCAGTTTCACCGTTCAATAAAATTGGTTCGTTCATCTTTATACAGGCACCAACTCTTTCCATCATTCTTAAACTTTGCTTGGTGTGAGCAAAGTTACTATTTTTGTTAAGAAGTTCTCCAAGATTCTTCTCATCTCTTTCTAGGGAAATTCTACCGACTGTTATCACTCCCTTTTCTTCATGTAATTGTGGTTTATAAGTCTTTAAATATTCTTCATAATTATAAATTTCCCACACAAGAGCAAGTGTTCCAACAACAGAATCATAAATGTCATGTTTGGCAATCATACCACAAAATACATCAATAGCTTCATGGAAAATGTCTCTCTTAATTTGACTTAAAACATAGTTTTGATTCTTTTGAATCTTTTGTCCATAAAATCGTTGAACTCTCTCGCACCATTTGAGTAAATCTCTGAATGAGAAAAGTCTTCCAAAGCTCTTTAACTGTGTTGATTCAGATGATTGTTTCTCGGATTTTTCAGAATCATCCGAAATATGACCACTTCTCAAAGCGTCATATGTTTCAATAAACTTTGGAATTAATTGTTGAATTGATTCGAATTTAACTTTCAGAATATGTTCAATCTCCTTAGATGGTAATTTGTTTACCCTAACCTTAGTCCACAAGTTAGACATTGGAAGAACTCGTTGTCTTGTTGTTGTTCCATTGAGTGATTCTACAAGACTTTGAGTTGCAAACAATTGGAAACCAGTTGAAGCTGGAATAATTTCATCTCTAGATGGAAGGAAAAGATTACCTGACTCTACGAGTGGAATAATCGATGAAATGATATCAAATGGAGCCAAATCAAGATCTTCAATAAGAATCCATCTTCCTTCCATGACAGCCTTTGTCAATGCACCTGGTTGCCATCTGAATTCACCTGGAACATCAGTACAAACATATGTACCTAATAAATCCTTACTATCAAAAGATTCATCCAAATTGACTTTGATAAGATCTGTGTTTCCTGTAATTCTTGCTAATTCTTCTACGTAGGCTGTCTTACCAGAACCAATAATACCTTCCAAAATAATAGGATTTTCTTGTGCAACTCCCAATGCCAATGAACGCATATTTTCGAGTGATGTCTTTGTGAAAATCAATTTAGTCTTATCAGCTGAAATATTTTGTTGGGAAGATTTAATTTCACGAAGATTTTTGTGTAACCAAACACCACAAACATTTACCATAGAATCAGATTTGTGTGAAATGATGAGTTTATCTCTTGTTTCTTCTGTTGTTGTTTCCATATTTGAAGTCTCTGTATCATCATAGAAAGAAAGAGTATTTTCCAAATGGACTAATTCTTCACTTTCAATTTCTTCCAAAACATATGTCTTTAAATTATCAATCTTTGAATTGAAAAATTGGTCATCTAATTTCAATATAATTGAAACACATTTTGATGTTAGTGATTTGATATCCTTATTTTTGTGTTTTAAAAGCGAGAAGAATGGTGACCAATTCCACATTTTACAAAAATCAGATGGTGCAAAAATTAATAATCGTAAAGTAATTTCCAACAATGTTATGAGTTGTTTTTGATCAATTTTGTCTTCTTGATGGTTATTAACAATAGATTCTATGAGTGATGGTCTATCCTTAAAATATTGTTTGATGAATGTTTTGAATTGAGGATATAAAGGTAAAATTTTAGTAATGGCATTAATAGTATCATAATTACTATCCGTTGTATTGTTGTTATTGTTCAGTTTATCCATTACTTGTGCAACTAGAAGTGGTAAAATAGGTTTACAAATTCTAGCAATAGTGTATGTATATTCTTGTTTAATAAATAAAGATATTAAATATGTTTGAATACCCTTTATAATATATTGGTCAGTATCGGAAGAGTTAGATATCTAATTTTAATAATCGGATGATTGTTTTTCAATAATATCATTTTGTTATCCATCATGTACTTTGTCCATTAAAAACAAACCTTTTTTTGAAATGTTGTAACTTCCTTCTCAAGTGAAGGAAATTCTTTAGCGAGCACAACCAAGATATGACTATATGAAAAAGCAGTCTTTTCTTGGTTCGGTGCTGAGAGGGATGATTGTTTCAACATTTTTTTGTCTCTTTCAAATATTGTTATAATTCTTCAGTTAAGAGGTTGAAGCAAAATCCAGGCTCTCTGTGATTTATTTTTTCTCTCTTTCGAATCTTCTCTTGGTCTTTTTCACCTTCAACAAAAATGTGTTGCGCTTGAAGTGTGCATCTTTCTGTGAGGTATTATTAATAATATCTTATCAATGTTCATTGGAGGACATTGATGTTTTTGTTATGTGGCTATGATACTGTGATAGAAAGTAATCTTGAAATTAATTAATCAGGTTTGCACTGAAAGTAATCTTTGAGTGAGCAAACGGTGCAACAACCTCGGATACATTAAATTTGACAACAATGGTAAACAGAGGAATTTAATAATGAGAAATTACCAATAAACATGTTATTATCTTCAAATTGTCTTTGTTCATTGACTTGCTGTTGAATAACTTTCTGTTTCACATACTTAATAGTAACAGTCAAGAAGGATCGAAAAATATCGTTACAAATCCTCTACTAATGCATTTAAATTAATTGGAACCACTTTTAATGCGCGCCAAATGAAATGAGATTACAACGCAAAAAAATTGTTACGTTTTTTCTTCGTTTAAATCAGCTTCCACTTGCTTGACAATAATCAAATAACAAAAAAATAACATTAAACTAAAACATTAACAATGCCAGCCTCACCAGAAAAGAACATCCCAGAAGAAGAACAAGAAGAAACCACAACCAAGACTTCTACCAAAAAGGACAAGAAGAATAAGAAAAAGATTGGTACTCGTCCAGCCCATAAGGGACCAAAGTCCAAGCCACAATCTAGATCAAACAGAGCCGGTCTCCAATTCCCAGTCGGTCGTTTGGCTAGATATTTGAAGGAAGGTAGATATGCTGAAAGAATTGGTGCTGGTGCTCCAGTTTACATGGCTGCTGTTTTGGAATACTTGGCTGCTGAAATTCTCGAACTTGCAGGTAACGCTGCTCGTGATAACAAGAAGGGTAGAATTGTCCCAAGACACATTCAATTGGCTATCAGAAACGATGAAGAATTGAATAAGCTCTTGTCCGAAGTTATTATTGCTTCCGGAGGTGTCCTTCCAAACATTCACAGCATCTTGTTGCCAACTGGTCAAACAGCCAAGAAAGGTAGTGATAAAAAGAGTAGTAAGAAGTCATCAGAAGAAACTTCTGCTGCTTCATCTCAAGAATTCTAAATTCAACTAGGTTTTACAATTTAAATTTCACTCCCCAAATATCTTTCAAACCCCTAAGCATTTTCACTGTACAGAACAATAAATCCAAATCATAAATATATTTAAAAATTTGAAATCTTTGATTTTGGCGCTTTAATAACGACATTCCAACTACAAATAAAAATGCAAACATCAAGGGCGAAACAACAAACCCTCGATTCGCCTCAACAACTAACATCACCTCAACTTTTTGTTCATGATGCCACATTGTATAAGGAACTTATTGATGGAATTGTTTATCCTGATGATTATGTTGATCCCAATGAAGAAGTTTATATTCCTTCACCTCAAAAACCTTCTTCTGTGGACCAAACATTAAAACCAGAAAAGACTAATAGTGCTCCCCTAAGGAAAACATCAAGTGGTACCTCATCCACAAACAACAAGAATAATACAACAAGGATGGAAACTATGAAGGAGGAAAAGAAACAACAAACAGAGGCTTACTTTCAAAAGATTAAAGATACAACAGCAAAAATCAGGTCTAAAAAGCAACTGGAATCGGAAAAGAAGTTTCAAGAGTTGTGGAATGATATTCTAGAGGAGAGAGAAACCTTCTTGAAAGACATTAATGAAAAATTAGCTGCCTATGAGGAAGGTGATGAGAGAAAGAGACAACAAATTTACGAGGAGTGGTGTGAAAGAGTCTTTGATCCAATTCAGAATCAAATTGATGAACATCTTGCCAAATTACCATTTGAAGAAGTAAAAAAGAAGAGACGTTTAAAGTTTGAAGAATATCTCAATAGGCTCAATCACAAACATAAGAATAATGGTGGTGTATTCAGAGATATTGTTCTTGAGGATGAATACGATCCTTTCGAATTGACAAAAGATACCTTTAAATACAAGACTAAAAAGCCAGGTGAAACCAAGATGGTATCATCCAATATGAGAAAACAAGACATGCTAGGTGTAGAACAATACGATAAACTTGATGCTACACCATTCGGTCACTATTCCAAGATGGTTCAACCAAATTCCAATTCATCCAAATTGGCTGCAATGTAAGTATTTTCACTTTCCAACAATAATAATCGATCGACCATGATGAACTAGTAAATTAAAATCAGGAGTAGAACTTGATGATTTTGCAAGAGAGGAAAAGAATCCTTGGGAGAATGTTAGAGGAAAGAAGGTTCTCCAGAAGATTGAATTGAAAACGACTGAACAACTCGCTAATGGTTATTCAACAGAGGCTAAAAGAAGAGCAGAAGCAAAGAGAACAGTCATACCTGGTGCCAAAAAATAGATCCGTGTAGTCTTGTAAATATTAGGTGGTGTATTATGTTGTACAAATTGTTATTATTATATACAAAAAATTGTTATAGTACTATTGCTGATGACTTATTTCAAGTCTTCATCATCAAAATCATCATCGAAATCTGGATGAATAGAAAAGACAGTCAATAACTACTCTAACAAATTACGAGTACATACCATTATAAAAGTCTTTATCCACTAGAGAGTCCTTCAAAATTTGTTGAATGTTCTTTCCGGCTTCACCTGATTCTCCTCCAACAAGATCAATAAATTCGTCTTGATCCAACATTTCTGGATCAAAGTCAGAATCTGATCATTATGATTGTGTGAGTTTGCCATCAATCTTGGCTTTGATCACTTACCTTCCATCATATCAACTTCTGGTGCGTGGCTCATTTTTGCTCGTTTTTTTAGTTTATTTTTAAACAAGTGAATGAGTTCCAGTGTTCAATAGTATATTGACAATGTATTTTACAAAAGAAAAACATGTTCAGCCACCAGTTAGCTAACTGTGAATTTCCGTCTCTTTTAATAACAACTTTCAAATTGATCAAAGAATGAATTATTAAATAATAACAATTCAATAATATAAAAGAAAGAAAAATGAGCCAACATTCAAACATAAATTCCGAGCAACCAACAACAACACATGAGACAATTATGCTCGATGGAGGATTTACTATCGTATCGAACAATAATAATAATAACAATCAGAGGAGAGGAAATAATACTCAACAAGCTCTCATGATGGCTTCATCATGGAAAAAGAAACGAAAAGTATTGGCTCAAGCAGAACAAGAACAACAAAATCCAAATAATTCATTGGGTACGCATGGAGGAAAGATGATGATAGATTTAATAGAGTTTAATCCAATACGATTTGAGAGCCAATTGGAAAAAGTCAGAGAGAAATTATCTGAATTTATATTAAATTGTTTCATCAATGATAATTATCAATATATTACTCATCAGGTGATTTGTTATGGAATTGGAGATTTTGTTACGGATAAAATTGCACTTTCACAATTTAAAGTATTACTTTCTCTATTGGAAAGGCTTAAGGAGAAGATGAATCAACAAGAAACATATTCAATGTTTCATGTATGATCCAATTTTTGAAATTAAAATGGATGAGGAAAATAGAAACAAGTTATATACCTACCTAAAGGAAAAGTATTCGATTGAGTGGATTATGACTAATGAAGAATGTAAGAGACGAATGAATGACAAGACATTTGTTTATATGCCACATTGTGCATTTTCAATGTATTACAATTTATTGATGGAAAATAAGGATCAATTGGAAAATATTGTTTTACTTTCGAATCAATTACCACTCAAGACTGCACTTCTTAAGGATGCTTACTCAGTCGATTCGAAAAAGCAAATCATTCTTTCGAATCAAGATGATGCTAGCTCATCAACCAAATTGGTATTCCACAAAAAGAAAACACATGACGAGCATGAGAAATACCTTCTCAATTTTGTTTTTAATAATACGAATATTTACATTTTCAAATCTCAATCAGAGACAACCATTCGACCTCACCTAGATACCGATATTTTTTCACTCTCTCAAATAGAAATTTCGAGAGCATTGAACAGAGAAGCCGATTCAGAACTAATTTCCAAGTAAATTCAACAAATTAAATATTTAAAATTGCACTTATATTGAGAACCAATCCTTAATAGAATGAGAAAGATTATATGAGGTGACCATTCCATTAGAAACCAATCCAAATAAAGCAATTTACCCACGACTATCAGATATCTTATTGTAATCTCTCAAGATTCTCACCACACCAATAAAAACTCCTAAATTCTGAACATAAAAAAATTCTCAACTCATTTCGAAATGAGTGCTTCCAATCGTCCCAATGTAAAGTTAGGTGTCATTCAATGTCATTGGACAGAAGATTTAACTGTCTTGAAATCAGACATTTCACATAAAGTTAAACAAGCAGCAAATGCAAATGCACAAATCATTCTACTCCAAGAGGTGTTCATGATGAGATATCCAGGTGATCTCTCCAAGGAATTAAATCCAGAAACCTTTGATCAAGCTGAGAATTTAATGCAAGCTGTTGCTATTTTGGAAAAGAATGAAAATTCGGAACAAGTAACTACAAGACACGATGAAGAGATTGGACAATTGTCGAGAACTTTGCAATTCTGTCGTGAATTGGCCATATCCAATAAGGTGATTATTGTTGGAAGTTTATTTGAGAAATTTATTCACACAAATGATGAAACAGGCAATTCCACTACTAATTATTATAACACTTCAATTATTGTGAATGAAAAGGGTCAATTGATTGGAAAGACTAGAAAACAACATATTCCTGAAGGACCTGCTTATAATGAAGTTGATTTCTTCGAGGCAGGATATGATGATTATCCAGTTCATGATACTGGTCTAATTAAGATTGCTGTGCCAACTTGTTATGATCAGTGGTTTCCTGAACTTGCCAGAATTTATGCATTGAAAGGAGCTGAATTGGTTCTCTATCCAACATGTATTGGAAATGAACCACTCTATCAAGATTTGGACACTCAACCACAATGGAAAACCATGATGGTTTCTCATTCTATTTGTAATGGAGTTTTCATTGCTGCTGCTAATAGAGTTGGAAAACAAAGTGCTGGTCCAAATGTCAGCAAGGCAATTAGAGAATATAATGAAAAGAATAATACTCAATTGAAGGAAGAATTTGAATTCTTCTTTTATGGGTCTTCATTTATTTGTGCACCAGGAGGAAAGGTAAGTTTAACATAGATTATTGGAAATATGATTAAAATCGAATGTGTGAAATATGATTCAGATGTTGGAAGAAGCTCCAAGGGATACACCTAGCGTATTAGTTGCTGAACTTGATTTTGAACAAATGAGATTGTGGAGAGAGGCTTTCCCACTCCTCAATCAAAGACAAGCCAAGACCTATGGAAGATTACTTCAAGATTAGGAAGGCAGGTATAACAAGAAAATAAAAATCTGTCAAATTTATTAATAACAGGAAGAATTTGAATGAAAAATCTATTAGTGTAGGTAAGGAAAAGTGAAATGAATTGTTTCGTATCAAGTCCTCCACAGAGTAATGATGAAGAATCATTCCTGAAATAGATTATGAATTTTCTCGTCTATCACTCCTTGATTGATATTGAGACATCTGAAAAGTGACCTTCTCTTACAAATTTCAATAACCTTTCCAAGATGCAAGTGGCTTCATTAGAAAACTTGAAATAAAATCTAAAGAAGTGTCCATACTTTTTCTTATTAATCTTAGTGTCGCTATATGAGGAATGAAGTGTATTTAAGGAAACTGATAGGTGGACTTGAAATAGTTCAGGATTATGTTGAAATGGTCTGAATGCAAATAGGTGTGAAAATTCTGGTTCAAATCCATCATTGATTCGGATTTGAGAAATAGAGGTACGATTAATTAAGGAAGAATCGGTACGTCCACCATTCAAATCACCATCTTGCAAATAAAGTTGGGTTGTCCGTGGTCTTTTTTCAACTCTTTGGAAACCATCAGAGGAAATTTGTAGCATCTTTAACTTTTCAATATTATAAACAATTGGATAAACTCTTTTCACACTGTATGAGTTCAAATCCACAAGCATCCACCTCACCTCATCAGAAGTGAAGAATTCCTGATATGTTTCACTCTTCATGTTACATCTATTCACATGAATAATAACCAAATACTTGCTATTGGTTATGGCACACGAGGTTGCATACATATCTCGAAAGTTACAATCCTCATTGCTTTCAAAATGAACTGGATTCATTTGATATGAATTATCATCTGGTGAAAATTCCATTTTGTGAAATTCGAAATTATGAAGAAAGCTCATTATAAATATTTCATTGTTTTCCTGATTGACTAGTAAACTATATTTGGTTTCAAAATGGTGTTCACACATAAATTCAATATGTTGAGTAGCATTTTCGTAATGAAACAGAGAGATATCAAAGTCTAAATAAATATTCTCTCTTTGGCCATTTCTAATAATTTGAGATGAAAATGAAACAGAGTGGTCAAATGAGAAATGGCTCGCCCAATGTCTATAAGGAATTAAGGATGATCCTATACAATAGCTGTATTTGATCTCTGTTTTCAGAATATCTTCTTGACACAAGTCAATTTTCAATTTTGAAATTTTCTCACAATCAGAAATATATAACTCAATACCAGAATTGGAATATTCCTGAATAGATAGCAAAGAAGAGCGGTAAGAATAAAATTTCTTACATATTCCACTTCTCTCAGAAACATATTTCAAAATAATAAACTTTGATCGATCCATAAAAAACCCCAATTGACCTAACTTGATCAATGCAAGTTTAAAATCGCAATAATCTTGAAGTTGAACAAGTAAATACTTTGGAGATGTATTCTGTGGACACACATCTTTCAAATTTGTCTGGAATATAAATTTCTTTTCCTCCTCTGAATAGAGAATCAAGGCGAAAGGAATTATTCTTTTAAAAACCTGAAATCTATCAATGTCCTCATATCCTTCATAGGCATCCCTTTCGTCAATGGGATAATAGTCGTCCTGAATGCAGGCTGCTAGAGAGTTGAATTTAATGTATTTATTTGGATTGTGATGAGGCATTTTTTTTATGTGAAGTTTCGAATTGTTTAGTTTGAACTTTGAAAATTTAAAGGAACCTGATCGGTATTAACTTCCTTTAGATCTCGAATTGCACCAACTTTAAATATTTGTATTTAACTTATTCCCTTGTCTGGTGGATTCAAGAAAAGGTGGATGTAATGGTCAAACAAGTCAAACCTGTTAATGAACTGGACCGTTGGTCTCATTCGTTTTGTAATCCTGCCGAAACTTGGAATTAAGATCCGAAAAAATGTCCCAACAACAACACAATGATGACTGCAAAACTTGTTCTGTCATTATTGAGTTAATAGATTTCGGAATTGGAACATGTTATTCAAATCTACTAAACAAGTTCCACAATTATCAAACAGATTTGATCAAATGGATGGATAATCGTGATAGGGTGGATGATCGATTTCTTCCAATCGAATTCATGCACGATAGATCCTTCGTGATGGATTACTTCAAAAAATTCTCTCACAATTTCGAGAGTGTAGCCGATGCATTCAAGAATGACAAACAAGTCATCAAGGAAGTAGTTAGAAATCTCGGCTGTTTGCTTACCTTTGCATCTGATGAATTGAAGAATGATAGGGAAGTTGTTTTGGAAGCTGTCAAACAAGATGGTTCAACACTTGAATATGCATCAAATGAATTGAGAAATGATCATGAAATTGTTCTGGAAGCTGTCAAACAAGAGGGTGAGGCACTTGAATACGCATCAAATGAATTGAGAAATGACAAACAAATTGTTTTAACGGCTGTAAAAAAAAATGGTAGTGCACTTCGATATGCATCCGACGAATTGAAGAGTGATATGGAATTTGTATTGGAGGCTAGTAAACAAGATAGTTGGGCAGTTGGTTATGCATCTGATGAATGGAAGAATGACAAACAAATTGTTCTGGAAGTAGTTAGACAAGATGGTTCAGCACTTCGATATGCATCTGATGAATTGAGAAATGACCATGAAATTGTTCTGGAAGCAGTTAAAAAAAATGGTCGAGCACTTGAATACGCATCAGATGAATTGAAGAATGATATGGAAATAGTACTGGAAGCAGTTAAACAAGATGGTAGAGCACATGAACATGCATCTGATGAATGGAAGAATGATAAACAAGTTGTGCTGGAAGTGGTTAGAGAAGATGGTAGAGCACTTGTATATGCATCAAATGAAT